TCAAGAGGTTCGGGTCGAGCGAGATCTGGTGCAAATTCGTCTCGGAAATCTCGAGGTCGATGAACGTCGACGGCGCGTCGACAAAGAGCCCGAGCGGCAAGTCGGTCATGTTGGTGCGGACCATTTGCGCGTACGAGAAGCGCGTCAAAGGCGCAATATTGACCGTCGCATCCCACGAGAGCAGCGTCGAATTGAAGATCTCGAGGCCAATGAGGTTTGTAAACGCCTGCAGCGACGACGGCATGACAAGGTGCGGGCAATGCGAGATGATGAGAAAGACGAGCGACCGGACTTCGAGGCTGTCGGTCGGTGGCAGCAAGAGCATACCGTTGACGCCGTCGCACGTCGTCTCGAGCACAGTGCACGCGCACTTGCCGGTGAGCCAGGGGTAGGTCTGCGCGAGGCACCCGGGCTCGCACGAGGGCTGGCGCAGCGATGCAAAGCTGATGACGAGGACCGCGATCGCCCAAAAGATGCTCGTGATGTACCCAACGACGGCCGAGAACGAGCACCAGCGCGGCAGCTTGCGGTCGCGCAGCGTCGACGCGCGCTGCAGTAGCACCTTGGGCACGAGCACGAACGTCGTCATAAAGTCCGCGAGGGCAAAGAGCAAGAAGGCGTGCGTAATCGCAGCGACGGTCAAGTCCAAATACGACGTCGCAAGGACGCTCTGGCACACCGAGACGCCGATGGGATAGAACGTATCCTGGTACACGATCTTGCTACTGTCCGGGCGCGTGAAAAAGGTGTAGTACGGCCGCAGGATCCACGTTGGCAGGATGACGTTGGCGGTAAAGTTAATGCATACGGCCGCGGCAATCGTGTACTGGCGGCGCGCCACGGGCGACGCAAAGCGCCACAGCAGCGGCAAGAGCACGCCGTACGCAAAGAGGACCACTGAAAACGTCAAGTTGATCATGCTCACGTCAACGAGAACACTGGTGGCGTACGCGCGGTACGTCTGCGACGCTGCAAGGATCACGTGCTTGATCGCGAGCTTGAGCTCGTAGTAGGGTCCGCGGGAGCTAAAGAGGCGCAGCGTCCGGCGCATTGCGCGCACGATGGGACCGCCGCACGACGAATGCTTGGCTGTGGGTATCGGCGGCCGGACGAGCCAGATGCACATGCGCACCAGTTGGAGACCATGGAAGATCGCAATCGTAGCGTAGACGGCGACGGTCACGGTCACGGGCTGCAGCAGCTTGAGCACGCGCACATAGTTGTAGCCGCCGGTAACGTGCTGGAGGTACTGGTGGGCATACGCCATCGTGAAGGCGAATCCGCAAGCAGCAATGTGCATGAGAAACACGAAGCACCAGAGCACAAGGTGGACGTCGCGCGCGGGGCGGCGAGAAGGCGCGACCTTGAGCGCGCTCGCCATCGCTCTGGGAAAGGTGCTCCTAAAATTACGTTGCCGGTCGTTTGAAAACGGCAGATCAATTTAAACGAAGGACAGGGCGCCACGTCATGAAACCGCCCACATCGGATGCAAAAGCATCTTTCGAGAAACGTTGTCATCGGGGGCAATATGACACACAAAGAGTGCAGGCTCGTATGCGCAAACAACGTGCGATTCACAAGCGAGAGGTAGCTACATGTCCGCTACGATGGGGGCCGCGATACTGGCGAGGTTGACCAACCGAGAAGCGTCGCACCGCTGGCGAGGCAGCGTGTCGGCAACGAAAAGGAGTCCCACGACGGCGCGGTGCGCTGACGAGCTATAGATGGGTGCAGAGGCATAGAAACGAAGATAAGGCGGCGCGTGCACGAGCGGGTGGGACGCGTAGCCGTCACGCAGCGCGTTCAAAAGCACCGTGACGTCGCCCAGTGCGTGCTGGCCGAGCATACGCTCCGCGTCGAACCTCTCGACGTGCCACCCGCTGCGCGCTTGAACCGTGAGCATCCTGTGCGTCGTGTCGAGGCGCGTCACGATGGCAATCGGGCAGTTGTACGCGCTACGCGCCAGCGCCACAAGAATGTCGAGGCGCTCTTCCCGCTGGGTCTCGAGCTCGTCGTAGGCGGCGAGGGCGCCGAAGGCTTGGCGGTTCGTCGCCGGTGGGCTTGTTGTCGCGAGCATGATACGTGGCGGAAGCTGCAGCGTCCCTGTAAACTGGAGGTTGGCGTCGGGGTAGTAGTACGGTCGGTCGGCACCGCTCGAGAGCTCGATGCGCGCCTCTGTACTCGCGATCGACTTGCGTCGGCCGTGGAAGGTGCGAAAGAAGCAGTCCTTGCAGACGCGTGTATGCAGCGCCAACGCATCGGTTCGCTGCTTTCGGGCACTGGGACGCTCGACTGAGACGCGCTCGGTGCAGGCGCCGCAGGTGACGTTGGCACACTACCTCGCTATCGTCCACGAAAGGCTCCTTGGAGCGAAACGTACCAAGCGGCAGACGTGTGGGTATCGAAAGCTCGTAAACAATTTGGCGCAGACAGCACAGTCGTCGCTGTGACGACTCGAGACGTCTTTGATCGGGCGCGAGAGGCGGTCAACCACCGACGCTTCAACGCCAGCACGCACAATGCTCACGGGCAGCACCATGGTCAATGCACGACGCGTTGAAAAATACAAAATGACGTGCTTCGCGTCACGTCGTAGCTGCCGTAGTCGAACCGTAGACAGGCCATGATGACGGGACAGACACGCTAGTCGATAGAGCTCAGTATCGTTCGGTGTCCCACACGAGAGGCAGACAGCCTAAGTGGCTCGCAATGCCAAACGCCAGCGCTCTCAGATCCCTCGCTGCCATTTTGAACGAGGCAGGCTTGATACCCAGCTGGTATGATATAGAGATCCTCCACGAACGAACAACGCCACCGACCAAGATGAACATCATTGAGAGATAGACTTCAGCCCCGAGCTCGTTACCGAGCATTTGCATTCGTCCTCGATATTGACGCAGGTACAACGACCTACTACTGTAGCATGTATTCTACTCGTGACATTTTGGTTCTTCAAGGACGTTGGTAGACACGGCAGCATGGCGCGTCGCCTCAGCGTGCTCTTGCAGGATACGCTCCAGCGCGGTGGCGACGTGGACGAGCTCGCTGGCGTCGCAGAACGACCGTACGTGCGTGTCGGCGACCATGACTGTGCCGACAACGTGCCCGCTGAATCGGACCGGCGCACTCGCAAGAAACCGGAAGCTCGCGGGTCCTGTGACCAGCGGGTTTTGACCAAAGCGGTCGTCCAGCGTGGTGTCGAGGACCACGAGCGGCGTCGGCGATGCAATCGCGTGGGCGCAGAGTGCGACGTCGCGCGCGATCTCGGCCTGTTTGAGGCCGACGCGGGCCTTGAACCACTGCCGCTTGGCGTCGAGAAAGGTGATTCCTGCGATCGGACACGCATACGTCTTTGCGGCGAGGGCGCAGAGTACGTCGTAGATCTCGGACGGCGGCGTGTCTAGTATGCGCAGGTCCTTGAGCGCACGCAGTCGCTTGCCTTCGTGGGGCACGACCGGTGGTGGGCACCATTGGTACGGCCACGCCCGCTTCTTGGGCGTAGTGGACTGTCGGCGCGGCGACTCGAAGGCGGACTTGCGCGTTGGGCGCTGGGGTGGTCGCGCGTTCATACGCGGCTGGTACAGGCGACGCGTCGGCAGGTCGGGCAGCTCGATCGAGGTTGTCTCCCGGGGTTTCACGGGCGCTGTCTCTGGCGGCGGGATATGATGGTTTGCTCGCTCTGGTGCGTTGAAGTAGGTGTGGTGGCACTCCGTGCAGACGCGTGCGTGCAAGGGGCCATTGCTATTGCTGTTGGCGGTGGACGGCTGCTCGATAATGAGGTGCTGACGACACGACGCGCAGACCACTTGGCCACACTAGCCCAACGCAGCATGAGCTTTGACAGTCGCGGGATGGAAGCGTCGTACCAGGTAGCAGTTGCGCTTCTTCCAGAAGAGCAGTAGCGACGCCTTGCAAGCGTGGCAGCGGGTGCGGGCGAGCGGGTGCACCCAGTGGTGCCGGTCGACGAGGCGCGCGAGCACCGGTGGTGGCAGTGCGCAATGCACCTGCATGGAACTCGATCGACGCATGGCGAATCAATTGTCGTGTGGTTATCCGCGGGCTCACATGGTTGCCGCAGCGACCGCGTTGACAGAGCCTGCGTCTGAGACCAGATCTCGCCACTGTTGTTGAAGTGGTATAGACCATTAAGCTATCGAGATCGTTTCAAGCGTTATGGCACTTACTTTATATTATCAAAGCTTGGGGATAGTAACATGCGACGACATGCATGCAGTCAAGTATGCAAGATCGGGGCGACGTGCTATTTTAATATTCACATTGTCCAAAATACATTCATGTACATTATGCCATCAAGTGAAATGGATAAAAATGAGATGGTACGAAAAACAATCGTCGCTGCGAGCCTTGCTCACAGGTAGACGGCGCCACGCCGTAATGGTCGACGGCCGCGCTGGCCCCACGGTGCCGATTACTGCCGCCGACGACCCCGCTCCTGACGTCGACGCGCCCGGCGTTGCCCTCGCCTCATGGGTGCCAGCGCTACTGTGCATGGCCGAGGCGTGTGGTCGGTCGTCGTACAGTACACAGCACGAGTTTGTAGCTGCTGCGCATGGTGCGATCCTTTGCGGGCGCGTCGTCGCTTCCGAGCGTGCAACCATGCACATCAACGTCGTTATCTTCGTCACAGCTAACATCTGCAAGGATGGCATCGAGCTCGCAGCAAGAATAGCTCACATGGGCACCTACCTCGCCCGTTGGCTAGCCTTGGCTAGCGAGGGCATGCGGTAGCTTCGCCCACCCAGGCCATCTACGCAAGCCATTTGGCATGGCTACACGCAGCATGGTCGTCGCCCTTGCGCGCACGTCGATGTTGGGCGGGTCGGCGGAGCGACTGCCGCCGATTGTGGCCGCCATATCCGGAACTTGCCAAGGTTCCGCCGTTCGTGTATTTTTATCAACGACATTTTAATACGAATACAAAATGCAAGTATAGAGTGAAGATAAAGGAATTGTAGCGGAAGGAAAGTGAATTTAATTGCATTCACGATCACATTTTCTCGGTTGCTCCTTGGGACGCACACGACGCAGCCGGCCCCCCGACGTCCGTGTACAGCCCGACCACCTGCCCCTCCGACGACCAGCGACAAGACATGGCCCGCGACTAGTACGTACCCGCGTGATGTAGCGTAGGCTCATGCTGACGTAGCGACCACCTCTTCAAGCTCGTGCTCATTGGCGACTCGGGCGTCGGCAAGTCGTGCCTCCTCCTGCGTTTCGCCGACGACGCCTTCACAGAGAGCTACATCACGACGATTGGCGTCGACTTTGTACGTTGCTTGCTAGCTTCCCTCGCTTATAGCGGGCTCTAGCGCTTCCGCACCGTCAAGATTGACAAGAAGACGGTCAAGTTGCAGATTGTACGTAGGCGACCCGTCGCACGTCGCCTCACGCCTCGATGTAGTGGGACACGGCCGGTCAAGAGCGCTTCCGCACCATCACGAGCGCATACTATCGGGGCGCAGATGGCATCATCATGGTCTACGACGTGACGAGCCAAGTACGCGATTCGGGATGGCATGGCCTTTCGCCGCTCATGTGACGCTAGGAGTCGTTTGACCACGTGAACGACTGGCTCAACGAGGTCAACCGGTACGCAAGCGAGGGCACGTGCAAGCTTTTGGTCGGCAACAAGAGCGATATCACGAGCCGAAAAGTCGTGTCGTACGAGACGGCCAAGGCGTTTGCCGACAGCCTCGCGATTCCATTCTTGGAGACGAGCGCCAAGAACGCCCAGAACGTCGAGGAAGCTTTCTTGACGATGGCCTCGGAGCTCATTACGATCCGCGAGCTCGTCGGGAATGCGCAAAACCCGCGGGGCACTCAGGTACATGGTCACGACATGAGCTCATCGCTCATGACGCCACTAGCTCACGAACGACAGCAAGCCGTCGTCGGGCTCGAGCAACTGTGGCTGCAATTAGCGTGGTCCATCACGACGACGACGACGCCTGCATGTTGCGCCTTAGCTTTCATTTTGACCTTATGTAATGCAGCCGAGTGCATCTTGGTGATCATCATCTCGAGGAAGCGGCGGGCTGAAGCGGCGGCGCCTTTTCACGCTCGCCAGTTTTTTGTTTTCGGCATGCTGGTTAGAATCGGCACATCTGCCGCAAATAGCAAGCGAACAGCAAGTTTGTTTGTGGCATCATTTTGTATTTTTATTATATATTTTGCGGCTGGCATGTCGAACGCCAACAGCGAGAAGGACCGCGCACTGCAGTCGATCCGTAGCCGCGCCGACCACCTCCGCCACACGATCACGCAGCTCGAGTCGCGCCTCGCGTGGTACCCGCTGACGCAATGGCCGTACTTTTTGAGCCAATTCCAGGTCATCTCCAAGCAGCTCGAAAACATTATGACGCTCAAGGACGACGAAGAGCTGCCCGAGAGCATGCACCACTTTGTGTGCATGCCCCGCATGTCGACGCCCAACCCCGCCGACATCCCGCTCTTGCTTCGGACGCGCGAAGACCCAGAGATGGAGAAGGCGGACGACGAGCTCCTCGCGTCCGAGCGCGTGAACCCGCTCAAGCGCAAGGCCAGCTGGACATGGGAAGAGCTCGAGGGCCAGAAGCTCGCCCACACAGACATGGTCGAGACGCTCGAGAAGGCCTTCAAAGAGGCGTCCGACGTGCTTCTGAAAGAGATCCGCGTCGGCAAGTTCCAGGAAAAGGTCAAGCCCGTGAGTACACAGAGCGCCGTGTACAAGTACATGGAGAGTGGGCAATGGACCAACTAACGTAACACGACCCCTTCGCCATGATCAAGAAGTGCTCTGATAGAAGGCAACACGCTCGCGTGTTGAATGAGGTTACTGCTGCTGCTCGGTCTGCATCTTGTCCAGGATGGCCTTCATCTCGGCCGCGTGCGTCGTGTTGACGGTCGCTCGGCGCTGGCGCACGCGCTGGAAGATGATTTCAGACACGCGGTCTTGCATGTCGGAGCACCAGCTTGCCGTCTTTTGGTACTCGACCGCCTGGTCGACCCAGTCGCGCAGGTTCTGCTCGCGGCGCTCGTCGGCCGGGTGCGTCGACATGAACTCGGGTCCATCGCCATTCTCGCCCTTGAGCGCCTTCATGCCACGCCAGACAGACGCCGCCTAGATATCACTCAGTTGTCTTATCCCATCATGTCATCGTTCACCTCGGTCGGGTCGTAGCACGCTGCGGCCATGAGCATGAGCCCAATGTGGTCGGCCTCGCTCTCGTGCATGCGGCTGAACGGCAGCTGGAGGGCGTACTCGAAGAGCGTTGGGATAAACTTGTTGTCAAGCCCAAAGAGCGCTACGAGAATGAGGAGCGGTAGGAAGCTCAGCGTCTCGGGGGTGTGCCTAGCACGAGGCGTCAGGTCCTCCCAGTACTGGTGCGAGCAAGACGGACTTGGCAACGGCGTGGCCAATCTCGTGGCCCACGACAGTCGCGAGCGCATTGTACTTGTTCTTGCAGTGGCCATCTTCGACAAACTTGTCGATGGCGTTGAGGAGCCCCGTATAAACAAAGATGATGCCGCCTAAGACCTCATACAGCTCCTGCATCGTCTCGAGAGCAAGTACCAGAGTAGCAGCACGCATTGACGTTCGGGTCGTCGACCAGGAACACTTTCCAGTCGTAGTTGGTCTGAAAGATCTTTTCAGCGACGACGACGAGCCGCCTGCCGTGCAATTGAAGATTCGATTCATACAAAGAGTAGGCACGTACACGGCCACGTCCTTGACCATGCGGTAGCGCGGGCCGTCTTGGATGATGGTGACGCCCTTGATCGCTTCTTCAGCGTGCTCTGTGCCCATGGCCTACGATGCGCATGATCGATCGAAGGCCATGGAAACTCGTCGTACGATGATTTCCTCGTTGGAGAAGACGACGACTTGCGTACGCCCCGAGATGGGCACCGTGTGCAGGTTCGTGAGGAACTGGTATGCGGCAGCGACCGAGCCGAGGCCAATGAGGCTCCATGCGGTCGTCATGACGAGGCGAGCATGCAGCGGTGCATCGACTAGGTCGCATGAGATCGAGGAGTCGTGAGTGCACGCACCTTGCGCCTGGTAGAAGGTCACATCGCGCGGCTGCACGACGCGCACCGAGTAGCTGCCGAACGCTCGCGTCGGCTTGGCCGTCGCCTTGGTCGTCGCCTTGGTCGTCGCCTTGGTCGTCGCCTTGGTCGTCGCCTTGGTCGTCGCCCGGACGAAGCGCGCTAGCATGTTCGAGGAAGTCGGCAGATGCTCCTGCGTCTTTGGATTGGCTGGTTTCTGCGAGCGTGTCGATCGAAATACCTTGGTGTTTGTATGCGCAGCGGGTTGTCACGAACACTATGATTTAGCCGTGGTAGCCACGTTTAAACAACGTAATTCATGGCTGAGGGTATGAATTATCGTGTCGGTGCAATATCAGCCACCACTGTAGTACGCAGGAGCCGCAGAGCATTGGGCAACTTGGGCGTGCAAGTAGTCGCCAATTCATGGACAGACGTACTCGCAACGTCGTATGTATTACGTATTAAAGAAGGGTTGTTGATATATAAAGAGGGTCGAGATTTACAAAAGCACCGCGAGCCCAACAAGGACGAGCGACGCGACGCTGGCAACGATCTTGGAGGCGGCGGACGGCTTGTTGGTGCCCGAGTCCCCGACTGCGTTGCTGCCCGACGCGGTCTTGTTCTTGGAGGCCGTCGTCGGCGACGTCGTCGGAGCAATCGTGATCTCCGGGTCGCCCTGGCCGGCTGGGCAGATAGCCGTGCAGTTGAAGACGAGCTTGCCGGTCGAGTCGGGTTTGTTTTGCTGCTTGCAGCTGTTGCACGTGTGACAGATCGACTGGACTTCGTTGCCGGCCGTGATCTGAGGCACGCATACCAGCGGCTCGCTGCAGACGCGCACGGGCGTGTCGAGCGCCTTGAAGCCCGTGCCAGCGCACTGCTTCCCGCCCGTGCACACGCCAAATTGCGGCACCGTATCCGGGATGTTGGTCGCGTTCTGGCAGTTGGCGTCGGCCTTGGAGCAAATGCACTGCTTCACCGAGCCGTACACTTGGCACTCAAGCTGGAAACCATTGAGTTTGCCGCACTGCGACGACGATGCGCATGAGCTCGTGAATTGCAGCGGGCAGCTGCTCGTGCTGTTGGACGTCTGCGCCGCAGCCGCAACAATGAGGGCGCTAAGGGCGAGGAGCTGCATCGTGCTTGAGGGTCGGTTGAGAAGTGAGACATATACACCGTACAGCGCAGTCTCCTCAATGCATTTGTTCGAATTCGACCGTATCCTAGCTGCATGTGCCATTCGCCGGATGGCCTCGTTCTGTCGCTGTCGCTCAAGTGTTCGATGGTCGAGGACGCTCCCAGCAGAACGGTTCCATCTCCATCAACACGTGTCGGTGGTTTCGCCATCATCTTCTGTTCCAGTGTATTTCGGTGTTTGTATGGTCCTTCTCTTCTTCGAGATATGTCTATGACGCTTTGTGCATTCATTTTCTGGTCGTGTGGGAAAGAACACCAGGACATCATGCTGCGGCCTTGTGGTTCGTCTTGCTTGTCCGCTCCTTGCCCCCCCCACTCGACCACAATGCCACTACGCATTAGCTGGGTGTAGTAGCATTCTCGTATGGAGTCTTGAGGCGAGAGCTTTGCGTCGTCCGCTTCGTACGATCATAAAGGTTCCTCGTCGCCGGCTGCAATCTCGTAACCGCCTGTCGACTTCAACATGACGTGGCACCACGAGAGTGCAGCAACAGGTTTGGATAAAGAACATTTTTAAATGCATGGCTGGTATTAACGCACCGAACGACGGGTTCTTCTTCACTCGGTCTGCAATCGACTAGAACTCGCCTTTACATTTGCGTAGCAGGGTTGGCGCCGGCGCACCACGTGACAAGCAGCGCTTCGTCCTTGTGGCAGCTCTTGGTGTGGACATCGTCGAACGGGTAGAGGTAGGCTTCCGCGCACTTTTCCCACTGGCAGTTGAGCACCTTGGGGCAGTTGAAGGCACCGACTGGCATCAAGTCCTGGCGCTCGACGCTCACAGCGACGTTGAAGCCCTTGACCTTGCCGCCCTTGGAGCACTCTTCCCACGAATGCCCGTTGCCGCACTACAAGATGATGGCAGTGGATCAGTCTCTCGTGCTGCATGCAGCAACATACGTCCGGCGGGATCGCACTAATGTCGAGCCAGAGCTTGCCGTTGTCGCGTGAGGCCTCGAAGACTACGTCGTTGATCGGTGAGTCATCGGTGGTGCAAGGTGAACGAATTACGCGTCGCCTCGGCAGACCGGCCAATACGGAACGTCGACCCGTCAAACGTGTCACCCTGGACATCGAAGGCCGAGCCCGCATCCATCCACTGGTAGAAGTCGCTGTGGGACTTGCCGCGGCGGAGGGTGTACATCATTTCGATGCGCTTGCCGCAGTTGTTGTAGAAGCGAAGCGAGCCCTTGTTGAAGGGAGCCTTCGTCGTCGGAGCGGGCGTCGGAGCAGGCGTCGGAGCGGGTGTCGGCGCAGGCGTCGGCGCAGGCGTAGGCGCTGGCGTCGGTTCCGGCGTCGGCTCCGGGGTCGGCGACGGCGTCGGCACCACGGTCGTCGGCTCGGGCGTGACCTCGGTTGATTCAGTTAAGTTGTGGCTAATGAGCGTAAAGTTGCTGAGCGAGCCCGTGGTCAGATCCGAGTCCAAATGGCCGTTGTCGACAGGCGTCAAGTTGTCGGACGTCGTCGCGCCGGTCGAGCCGACAGCGACTTCACCTGCGACCGTCGGTGCCGGCGTGCTGTTGGCAACGTAGCCGCTGCTCGTATCAGCCGCCGACGTGCCCGAGCTAGCGCCGACGACGACACCAATGCAGGCGCCAACGACAAGGACACCCGCACCCAAGAGCGTCAGAATCTTTTTCCGCTTGGCGAGCTGCTCGTTGAGCTCCTCTTCCGGATCCTTATCGTCGCCGAAGCGCGGGTTCCATTCGGTGATGCGCTGCATGGCAGGCGTCGAGTCCGCGTCGGCCGGGACCGGCGTGATCGAGATGAGCGATGGGTCGCGCGCAGCAGTCATGACTGGGATTGTCAATAGTACAAGCAAGGGGACTTGTGAAATGCAGCATTACGCAAAGTACACTGCAGACGTCCGGTCTCGCTGTGTGTCACAAATTGTCTCTTCGTCTGGTATCCGATGAGCCAATCCGACGCATTCGTGGTCCAACTAAGCGTTATGATTGGCGGAGCCTCGCCAAAAGCGGTCTGGATCGCGGCCTGCACCAGATTCCTAGAGTGGTAGAGGCATGCCCAGAGGCGACACTTGGGGTTTGTATGCAATCGAGAGCAAAGGTGGAATTGCCAGAAACCAGACAGGTGTGCACGTTGAAGTGGGTTTTCTTCGCATCGACACGCCGGCGTCGTCAGCTGCACTTGGATCCCCGCCGGTGTGGCCGCGTGCTCGCCGAAGGCTTTGCTGTGCACGTCAAGTGCCCAGACAGGTGCAATTGTTCGCATGCCACCGAGGACGAAGCTCAGAGATCCTACACGACCATGGATACCGGATACATATACCGTCTTGTAAGGTCCAACCTAGCTCCTATGGGTGGCAGCACGGATGCTACCGGTACGCCTTCCGTCACACGCCCGCTCGCTGCCTAGGCTTGCACGTAGTACTGCCCTGCTGCTACTAGAGCGCGTTGCAATCGCCACACGGCTAGAGGGCTCTCGGGAGCGTAACCCCGAGTCGCCAAGGCAGTCACACCAACATAAGACGAAGCAACAGCGAGCGTCTTTACGCCATCGACGCCCACGACACCAGGACGTACGTAATGTAGAGGAGGGAAGGGCTCGCATGGAAGGCGCGCAGTACACAGGTTGCTTCCCGAGCATCGTCAACGACGTCAGAGGCGGGCCACGAAAGATATATACACCAGGAGACTAACGTACATATGTGTGAGTCTGCTGACGCTGGTCACCAACACAGGATGGAACGGCATTGGATCAAGCACCGCGTACATGCTTTCGGTAGAGTTCAACACGCAGGAATTTCAGTTCCTGGCTATAGAGTTGTTGTATGCAGCGCGCACCGCACATGCTCGGTGCAGCCGTACTAGTACTGCGCAGTACTAGTATACAGCAACAAGAGCTAGAGACGCCTAGTCGACGCGGTCGGTCGCATTTGTTCATTTACCCCAGCATTTGTCGCTTGCCCTTTGCACGAGCGGGGTCTGGGCGCGGTGGACTTACGCATTTTCGCTGCTGCTATTGACGGTAATGCGGCATCTCCAGCGGTTGGGTTTATGTTATGCTATATTTGTCCGTTTATGTTCGGATCCGGACTTTGGGACCACTTAAAACATAACATAGAACTAGAGCCGGCCAGCGGTCAGGGCTATTTTTAAGCGTCGCAGACTGATGACGCAAACATCTCATACAATGTTCGGCAATGTTCGGCACTCATATTTTTGGCCAATCATAGACGATGCGTTCAGAAAAAAGCAGCCAATCAGCGAAAAGAGCTGCCTATAAAACTACACCAAATCCGACCCGCTTTGGGCCAAACCGGGTCGGATTTGGCACCGAGGGTTTATGATTATAGCATAAACCCAACCGCTGGAGACGCAAAGTTTTATGGTGGATCTATTTTATTCGGTATCCGGACACATCCGTAATAACATAACATAAACCCAACCGTTGGAGATGCCCTAATACGAGGTACAAATCGCAGCAGAAAGGACCACACGCACGGTTCTTCTTCATACACGTTACTGTCTATCGCTGTCAAAGGTACGAAGCGGTTCCGGCTTTTCTCCATTGAACCCTCTGAAACCAAATACTACTTCTGGAAGTCGCTAAGAAAACCTAAGGTGCATAAATATTGCCTAAGGCATCGCCATGCTGCGACACCAGGCGCCGCGGCCAATGTTGTTGGTGTCACAACCACTGCGGCGGTCGTAATCCCTTGCGTAACGAGAGCATGGCGCAGCGCCTTGATCGCTTGGCGAGCGTCGCCTGCCGTCACTCTGCCACTCGCCTTCCACCTGCGATTGCGCTGCACAACTCCATGACCGCGACGCCTCTCTTCGCGCGTGGCTCTGAAGTCGGTGCCAAAGAAACGTCACGCTTCAAGCCTCATGGGACGCTCGCTCGCTCTGCCGTGCAGAGGCCTGCGTCCACGCTTCGTGGTGTGGCGGCAGCGAGGAGGTTGGTTTGATCCGAGTGGGCAGCGTCACGAACATGCGACGTAACGCCATCGGGCCTGTCTAGACTTGATCTTCTGGCGGTCCTGCATTTGGAGGACGGGTATGAGGCCGGGAGCCTTCAAGTAGCACTCGGCCACGCGCGATTGAGGACTGACCCGACAGTCTTCTACGGAGGTGCGCGTCGCCGCCGCCGATCCTCCGCCTTCGCAATCGTTTGTGGCAGGATTCTTGCTAGTGTCCATCTGGCCCTTGGTCGGGTGGCGTCAAATTTGTCCGTGGGTGAAGCGCTTCGATACAAACTCCAAGTGTTGTTTCTGCTGAGAACTCGCCTTGTGGCTTGAACCTAAAGCCATCTGGGTGTGGAATATACCAACCAACGTTCGTATTGAGAGGTGTTAAAGTGATAGTTGGTGGGAACTGTCGATGAAAATATAGAGTAGGTTCGTAAAGCCCGGGAATGTCGAAACCCATCCATCGCATGGGCTGTGACTCACGCTTGGCGTACCCGGCGTCACATGGGTCGGCAACGCTGATGGGCGACGGCTTCGTCTTGACGAATGTATGGTTTACGCGCAAGGGCTTGCTGACCCGATCTGGCGTGCGCAACGTTGCCACTCCCTCTTTTGCCTTGCCTTTGAAACATGAAGTTCTTTGCCGTGCTCTTGGCGGCTGTGGCCATCGTCTTTGCCCAGGAGACGACGACCGATGCGCCGACGACCAAGCCGGCCGCGAGCAAGACGCCTGCGCCCACCAAGTGCGCTCGCCAGTACACGAGCCCGTGCACGACCGCGGCTGACTGCGGTGACCTGAACGGCTTCAACCTGACGTGCATCACGTCGGGCGACAACAAGATGTGCTCGTTCAACGGCGGTGTCGCAGTCATCAACGTGCGCCAGAACTCGTCGGCCGACGGCTTGGTGCACCAGTACGGCGACTGCACGATCAACCAGTGCAACAGCGGCCACGGCTTTACGGAAGACAAGACCAACATCATTACATGCCAGGAGACGCTCGCTTGCGTCAAGGAAATCAACGACAAGCCCGGCGTCGTGCTCCGCTCGCAGTGCCACACGTGCGGCAGTTGCAAGGCGCAGTCGGTCAAGGAAACCCGTTTCGACTGCACCAAGGTCTGCCCCAAGACGCCGGCGCCGACGACCAAGTCGCTTGCCCCGGGTGCGACGGCCGCGCCTGGCTCGGGCAGTGGCTCGACGGCGACTACCACGCGTGCGCCCAAGACTGCTGCCCCCGTGGCGACGACGGCTCCCTCGAGCGCGTCCTCTCTGTTCGCCAGCGGCGTTGTCGTCGCGGCGATTGCTTTTGCCCAACTCTGCTAAGAGTACATTTACATACACCTATGTAACCCTAACTTCGACTATACGCTCCTTTGGGCTTCAACGAGTACCTCCTCCGTCGGTCGCTGCACGCAGTGATACACAAGCACAGTTGTACGAAAGGTCATTTGGTGGTGCCTCTGATGATGTAGTACACAAGCACGCTGATGCTGAACGTCAAGTGCAGCGTGATCATGGTCAGAAAGAGGTAGAACCACTTGAGCGTGCGCTTCCCGATGCATTTGCCCGTCCACGGGCAGTGATGGTCGAGCTACATAGACCGGCGATGAGTACCTGTAGACCACATGCATATCTTCGTGTAGATACCCCGTCGATGCACACTTCGCACTCGTAGCAGTGGACTGCGTTGGCCGGGCGGCGGATACGGCAGTGGGCTAGAACGCTGTGAGCAGAAGTCAGAGAAGAGTGCATGGCCGTACCGCAGAGCACGCCTTCGTCTTCGCCGGCGGGATTGACATAGTCTTCGCGGATGATGCCGGGATCGCTGCACGCCACCATCGCAAACGAAAGGAAAGTGAGCACGATCGAGAGCACCAAGACCGCGATGACCCACGCCGTGATGTTGCGATCGAACGAGCAAATGAACGACGGCGCCAAGATGAGTGCGAACGTAAACGTCATGCACGGCCAGTTGGGCCCGACATGGCACACGCTCGGGAACGCCATCGCCGTGCCACCTTTGTGGAAGAGATAGTGGGTATGGCCGGCGCTAAAGCAGCAGCCGCCGGGCCGAGCGTCTTCGAGGATCGTCACCGCATGGTCGTCGATCGTCGGCGCCGACGCGTCGCGCTCCTTTGGGGTCTGCAGCGCCATGAGGTCCGTCTCCATCGATCGACCGCGGCAACGGTCGGCTTGGTGTTTTTCGAAGTCGAAGTTCCGAGTGATTGAATCCAGCGCAAGATGGCCATACACAACCAAGCAACGCGTTAAAGTCGCGTTAAACGCCGATACCCCATGTACCCACGACGAGGCCATGACGCACGGCGTGTCGGAGACGTCCCTGCGCAATTGAAGCTCCGCGAGCTTCTTGCGTCGCTGGTGCCAGCGCCAGCGGGCAAGACGATCCGACGACCAGACGCAGCAAGAATTCACCAGCGTCGAAGCTACCAACAACAATATGCATACTTGGCAGCGCTGCAAGCAGCGGATGCTACATGTATTGAATCTGCCTGACTGCAGCATGACACGCGCCGTGGGCTCGCGACGGCTGCCCTTTCTCGGTACTCGACGTAGCGCGCTCGGCTGTACTCAGTACCATATTCGTGCAAACGACACGGACGCACCCAAGAAATCTAAAGCGACATCGTTGCGGAGCATCCGATCAAATTGCTATTCAACTACGACGAGGTCGTGGCGACGTGGGTCGTGAGCTGCGCGTGCAGCGAGAGCATGGTCGACCGAATGGCCTCGCACTGCTTGTTGAGTAGCTTGCGCTGGTCGCGAATGTCGTCTTTGCCCGTGACCAAGTCGGCTGTGATGATGCCATCGACACCGTGGAACTGAAGCTTGTCGAGGCTGCCGCACATTTGCGCGATCGCGTCCTTGGACTCGACGAGCTCCGACTTTGGGACGTTCGCCGTCGCGTTGTGCACGGCGACTTGCCACTCGATCTCCTTGACGCGGCGCTCGAGCTTGGCGATCGCCAGCTGCAAGTTGTTGAGGCTCTGCAGGGCGGCCTCGCTCGCCGAGCTGTAGGCGCGACTGCGGGATGGCATGCTGCTTCGTCGGCCGTCAACCTATTTTTGCCGTCCAACTTCGCGCTCGATAAAACTTCGACGCGGACACTTCGAATACCGTTCTCCAGCGGCCTTACCCGACTTGACATCCGATAACCTTTATTTCTAAGAGACAAATCACAGCCAAGCCACCACAGAGTATGCGTTGAGCGACGTGCCGCTAACAACAACGCGTCTCTACGATAGCAACCCACTCGCGCAAGCTCATCCCTTCAAGTACAAGGTATCCCGAGCGCAGCAGCTCCAAGCTTCACAGCGCAGTCTTCTCCCGAGGACGAGGGGTAGGTCTACTCGGCCCAGGACCATTTTCTCCAGCTCATTCGATGCACACCGACCATCCATGACAATAAATTATGTTATTGAAGACAACTAAATAAGCAACAACTACGCAAAGCGAAGAATGCGCAGAGGAATCTGCACCGGCGTGGACGTAGCACCGCTCGCCGCGTCCTCGGCCGTGTCCCCAGTCGCGAGACGCCGCACTCGCTGATTCTACGCTCAGGTCATAACAATGTGCCGCCTGCACGCGTCGACAAGACCAACCTGTATGCCGACTTCGGGGGTGGCCACGGCGCGCTCCTTGCTGCTGTTGTCGTCGTCGCCTGGCCATGCAATTGCGTGGGGCGTGTACCAGTCGATCCTTGAGGCAACCTCGCTTCGACGGCTACAGCCATGTCCATAACGAAGATACGAAGATCGCGGACGTACGAGCGCTTGCGCTTCTTTGGTTGAGCCAGTGCAAACTTGCCATCGATCGCGTGCTGGCTCATGCCGTCGGGCACGAAGCGCAGTCGTGGGTCCTCCTCTAACATGGCGTAAACGAGGCCATCGACGTCGCCAGCGTGTGGGTCCAGCCGTGCCAAGTCCAGAATCTCTCGCACGTCCAGTGTATCTCCCGGTGCCCGCTGTTGATCGTTTAAGCGATCGAGTGCCATGCCAAGACAGTTGATGACAACGGCGCGTGGCACGCGTGTTGGCGCCACGCGCTCGGCCTTGGCGAGGAAGGCAGCATCGCCGTCGGTAAATGGCCTACGCGTGCGGCGTCAGACAAATGGAGAACACAAGAATATCGTACAAGAGCTGGTGGTGGGGGTTGCTGACAAGGCAAAAGTTGCCGCGTCCAAGCGCGTCCGCACCGTACAGAACGCGGTCGTCGGCGCGCAGGCGATCGATGATGCCGCCAACGTACTCGTCGAGCGTCACGAGGCCTTCTGGCTGCAGTTTCGCAGCTTGCGCCGCAATGTACGCGTACGAGACTGTCGGCTGCGTTCGCAGCTTGTCCAGAACGTCCGCCAAGAGGTGTGTTGCAGCACTCACAACGTCGAGCTTGACAGCGCGCACAAAGCGGTCGCCGTCCAGGTGCAGCCGGTCGTCACTGCAGAGACGCTTGACGAGGTGGGCGTAGAGCCCGTCGGGGGTCCAGCCCGGCGCACGCATCTGCTGCGTCTCGTCTCGTAGGCGCTGCAGCGGGAAAAACGCGTGGCGTTCCAGGTGCGTCAACACCATCGTCGTCATGCGGCGCAGCGCGTCATCGGCACGCACGGGGACAGCAGCCGGCCTAATGAGCAGCGTCAGTTTGAGAAGATCCAGGAACGAATGGACGAACACAGGGGGCGCTCGGGGCGCTTCCGTTGGCAGTGCAAAGTAGCTGGCACTCGGATCTTGGCCCTGAACGAACGCAATTTTCGGATCCCGGCGCATGGCGTCAACGACACTCTGCGCGAAGGCGTCGTCGTCGATGTCCTCTTGCGACTTGGTGGCCTTCTTGGCCTTGTAGCGGAGGCAAGGAAACCCGCGCCGGCGCCGGCCCTCGGCGAGGATCGTCGCAACAGGAAACCGCGATACGTGCTGCAGCGTCGCCAGCGCCATGGCCGTAAACTTTGGCACCGCCGAATCGAGCGAGAGCGTCATGCTGGCGTCATACGCGCTGTGGGCTCTCGCAAAGACGCCCCGGCCCTTCTTGTCGAGGGAGTAGACCATGCGCGGGTCGAGCTTCATGGCCTCGACGATCGCGCTGGCATACGCTTTCGGGTCGACGTTCTGGGACACCATTGTCTTGGCCTGGCCAAAGAGGTTGGTCGTCATCCACGCTGGCTGCATCCGCAGCACGTGGATCGCGACGCAAGTCCACTTGTGGACGTCCAACTGAAAGGCATCGGCGTACGAAAGCCCGACCCGGAGCGCCTTGGTGAAGCCTTTGGTGTCAGAGAGCTGGGCTTGCGCACGCGTCGCCTTCTGAAGCGCCCGGCGGTGCCAAATGTACGGGTTCCGCGCATCGCCATGGCCTTGCAGGATGCCCATGGCCTTGAGCCGGTTCGCCACGTGGCTGCGCCCATCGCTCTTGTCACGCAGATGATGCCACCTAACGTTCAAAGCGCATGAGGTATATGCGTCCATCGCGTATGTACCAAGCCTCGAATTGTGGCGAGCAGCGCGCCGAGGCCTCGTAGACGTTGAGGAGCTGAACGAGGTCGGCCTTGGCGACGACAATCTCGAGGCGGCGCCAGTCGCAGAGGAACTCGAGGAAGACGAGCTCCTCCAGGACGTCACGGACCATCGTCTCGTGTTCGTGCTTGACGAGGTGGTCGCCTGCCATCCTCTGCGTTGCTGCTGCTCGCGGATGGAATAGTGTACGCCCTTCGTAAATAGTGTGATCTGGCCTTTCCAACGGTTGCGTGAACCTCGTCCTGCCTGCACCCTTTCCTCGACCCGCCTGCGTGGCGCAACGCCGTGGCTCTGCAGATCGAACCAAGTCGCAAGGCGCCCAAGAGCAATCACGTAGCCCAGCAATGGACCAGCCGCAGCGTCTGCGCTGACGACCACTGCCTGCTCGAGCTCGTCGCAGGAGGCAAGCCTCTACGGGGCATTATTGTCGTCGAACACTCATTCCACGGGGCTTGGTTATGGCCCCGCAGCTCATTCGCACCGTCGCCGTGTACAGACATGCTTCGTTCTCAAGGTTACAGCAGGCGCACGACGTCGTTGGAATCGCTCTGCTCGGCGCACGCAAGAGGTCGGAGCCAGCGCCACGCACGGCAACGCCAAGCCCCTGATGTTTGGCCCACGGACCCTTCAGGATGCAACGTGTGGGACTGAGCGCCGCCGTTGTAACATCCGCCAAGCCGAGGCGAGGCGACAACGATATGCTGCGACACGCGGGAAGGGCCATAGAAACCGGCAGTTGACGGATGACTTCAAGTTTGCACCGAGCAACGGCCTCGGATCGCACTCGCCGTTGTGCCACGTACTGCACAAGCAAGCGCATGAGCATGAGCATGAAGGCGACCACAATAAGCTACGCCCCGCGCGTGACCAAGTGGTGGACGCAGCTCGCACTCATCAACTTTGTCATCTTCATCGCCGAGTCGTCGCGGGGGATCGTCATGCCGACGCTCTTCCTCTACTGCCAGTCGCTCGGTGGCGGCCTCTACGAGATGGGTCTCTTGACCTCCGTCTACAGCGTCGGCCGCCTCATTTCATCGACCGTCTTTGGCTACCTCTGCGACAAGTACTCGTTCCGCGCCGTGTACATTGCGTCGGCACTCATTGGCCTCGCCGGCAACTTCGTCTACTTTGTCCCGAGCACGCGCGCGCTCATCATCAGCCGCTTCTTCGTCGGCGTGAGCTCCGGTAACCTCAGCGTGTGTCGGTCCAACGTCGCGGCTATGACGACCGTTGGCGTTCGGCTCAAGTACCTCACGATCCTCGCGATCTCGGTGTACTTTGGGTACGCCCTCACGCCCGGCCTCGACGGCTTCATGACGGGCATCGACTACCACATCTTGGGTCTTCCGCTCAACGAGCTCACGGGTAAACCTCGACATTATGGTTGCCGGTGGACTGAGATCGAATGTGCTAGCGCCAGGGCTGCTGCTCGTGCTCATGAACTTGGTCACGGTCGTGCTCATGGTTTTCATCTACGACGACTCGATCAGCGTCCACGACGCGCCGGAAGCCGCGGTCGACGCGACCAAGAAGAAGACGCCGTCGCCCAGCGACACCTTTGTGCTCTCGGACAAGCTCGTGTACGCCGGCGTCATCCTCTTCATCATGCTCAACGTCGTCGCCCGCGGTGTGCTCTCGATCTACGAGACGATCAACGTGCCGCTCTTTGTGCAAGTGACTGGCGACTCGCACGACAATGTGATTGTCGCGGCCTCGACGTTCCAGTTCAACCTCGGTCTCCTCGGGTAATGACACCGTGTCCGTCACAACCTCGATTCAGCTCATGCGGTGTCTAGGCTGCTGGCGTACGTGGCCATTGAGATCTGGCACCACGTCGTCTCGGACGTCGTGCTGCTCGCCATTGGGTTTGGCGGCCTCGGACTTGGCAACTTGATCTTGGCGCTGCACGCGACTCCGACGTACACGGAGCTCTGGACTGGTGTCTTCTTCCTCTGGAGCGTCGGCAGTCCGATCACGACCGCCGTCTGTGTCTCGGCCTTCTCCAAGATCCTCGGCACGCGCCAGCAAGGCAAGTGGATGGGCCTCCTGGGCTCAGCGGCCTCGGTCTCGCGCATCATCATGCCGATGCTGCCGGCAGCTTTTGCGACATTTGCGCCTGTCTTTTGGATGGACGTTGTGCTCTGTGTCCTCAGCATCGCTATGCTCATCGCGTACGACGCTGCGGTGACGCGCGAGAAGACGACGGCCCGCGGCGATGCGTTGCTCTGCCAGTCCACGCAGCCCGACTATGCGAGCGTCGCCCACGCATAGTTGGCGATAGAAACACTGCCATGTTTTTGTTTTGAGTCTTGAGAGGTGGAGTGCCCTTATTCGTTGGCCAGATCCAGGGGGATCCGGGGCGGCACGACCCGCTGTTTTCGGAGCCCGTCCTCGACGCCGTCGTTGGGTGGCGTGCCGGCCTCGACCAGCGCCTTGCGCCGGACCTATTGCACCATGAGCACGACAGACAGATGGGTAGGACATACCTGGAGCCGACAGTCGTCCGTCTCGAGGTGCATGGGACGTGGCGTGACCTCGGTCGGAAACAAGACGAGCCGCGGCTCGGCCCACGCCATGCTGACGTTCACTGTCGGCATCGACCGCTTGATCTTCTTTGGCGGCGGGTCCAGCAAGGCCGGTCTATCGCCTGATGAGCCGTCGGCACGAAGAGTGCAAGCAGACCTTGGCGCGGCGTTGCCAGCTTTGGTAAAGTACGCGCGGCCCTTCTCGTCGACTTCGAAATGCAGCTGCGGGTTCTGCTTCATGCGCTGCACGACTTGGTGGAGGTACCGGTCGTGCGTCCACTGGGGCGGCACGCACGCCTTGGTTTCTTCAAACAAGAACGAGATCGCAAACATCGGCACATACTGCAGCAGCTCGAGCGCAAGCGCGGAAAAGTCGTCGACCGCGTTTGGCACTGCGAGCGGGCCTTTGGGCAGGCGGTCCCGCAGCCCGCCGTCGCTCTTCGGCGTCGGCAGCAGCGACGACGCGGGGGGCGCATCAAAGCCTTGGCGCCGCGCAAAGGTAAAGTAGCTGCGCTCAAAGGTCGGGCCGTCGACAAACTGGAAACGGCCGTCGCGGCGGAAGCGCTCAAGGACGCGCGCAATGTACGCGTCTTGGGCGCAGCCCTCGAGGCGCGAGTTGCGCACCATCTCGAGCATGTGTGTGATCGGGTACGTGTCGTCTCGCTGGAGCACGTCGAGCGCTTCGTTGATGTAGTTGGCGGCGGCCGCCTGGAACGGCAGCGGCGGCTTGACGTACCCATTGCTGCGTAACCGAAAGATCATTTGCCCTTGGTGGTCCGAGACAAGCTCGATCTCGGGGTGGCGCTCCATCTGCTGGAGCAGCGTTGCAATGTACGCGTCCGCGTCCACGTAGCTGGGGAGGCGGAAGCGCAGCTCGCTCTCAATTTTCGAGACGTAGTACGGCTGCCGCTTGGTCAAGCTCGAGAACGCGTATTTGGTGTACATGACCACGTCGTAGTTGATCGCATCGTTGTAGCGCAATGGCGCCGAGAGCACGAGGCCCTTTCCGCGCGCTTGGATCGCGCGGTGCATCGCCGAGAAGTTCCACTTGAACGGCTGCGATGGCGACCCGTCGCCATCGATGAGGCCCATCTCGTTCATGCGGTGGAGGAGGATGCGGCAGCCCTCGTCGCGGTCCGAGAGCCACGACCACCTACGAGGCGCATACGGTCAAGCGCAGAGGCAATGGGCGTGGCTACCAGTTGGCAAACTGCGGCGACGTCTGGCGCGACGCTGCGTACTCGTCGAGGAGGTCGACAAAGTCGGGCCGGTAGTGCACGCTGCGGCTCACGTCCGGGAGGTCCACGAGGTACTCGAAGAAGGGCAGCATGCTCATGACGTCGCGCTCGATGCGCACGTTGTCCCGCTCCGGCGGGCCATCGTCGTACGCCGACCGCGTCGCCATCGCCGAATTGCTCCAACGTGGGGAAACCAAGCGCTGGGGTCCGGAGCCCCGCCTGCGATTGGCTAAAATGCGGCGCCCCGTCCAAACTAAAACGGGCCGCCACACGCGCCGTGACACCTGCAACGTCATCGCCACCCCAGCAGCTCACACCATATTCACTATATACAGTACTGCTCGATTCCTATGACAACTTGTGCAATGACCAAGGACCAGTAGGACGTTAGACGATGCCAGTGCACTTGCACCGTGCGAATTTTGCAAACTCTGTATTGCATCCAGTGTATCTTGAGCACCAGGCTGGGATTAATCGATGCGTCCGCGATCAAGGCCTCACCGGGATCACCGCTGGTCCCGCACCTCTAATGCTGCATCGTCTGACGCCGGTAGTGCGTCGGCGTCGCTGAGAGCAGCTCCCGATGAAGCTCGACACAAACCTAGAGCGCTAGCTCCTCCTATAGCCCCGAGACTGCGTTCGGATGAGCAAGAAGATACGCGTCGTGGACCTTGATGAGAGGTCTCATCACCATGGCGCTCCGCAGCTCGTCTACAGTCGCCGTGTGGGACCATGCTCGGATCTCAAAGCCAAGTGCGAGGAAGCCCGACTTCAACTTGCGGCAAGATCGCAACCGGCCAAAACCGGCTTGGTATCCGGATGACGTGCAGCTTCGGAACATCTCGCACGATGGAGCGGCAGGCGGCGTCGTCGTGGCGGCGCAGCCATACACCTCCACACAGTAGTCGGCGGCAAGCAGCGGCGATCGATCGTGAGAGACATCTTGGCGCTGCCCAGCGAACGTCGCCTGGCAGCGCGACGAGGAAGCGAGACCGGGCGCCACCCGAGCAGGTCTGGCGAGCCTACGAGCCCGACATGGATCCGTTTCGACGCCAGCCACTAAGCGCCGATGCAAGCTCGGCTACCATAGACGCAAGTACGCAGACAGAGGTGATCGCAGATGACCTCGGACAATACGGCCCCGTGCACTTGATGAGCATGGCGACGATTGACGAGGTGATGGCCCGTCTGAGCGAGGTACTACTACGTACGCCTCGTACAACGACGATCACGCCACGTTGTTTGTAGCGAAAGACCGACCTGCAGCGCCAGTGCGAAGAAGCTGTCCCGGCTCCTGAGGATTCTGAGCCCGCCACGACCGGTGACGAGCACATCTTGCTGCCTGACGACACGCCGGTGCAAGCCCCACCGCGGAGCCGGTCCTACGAAGCGCTCGTGCAAATGGAAGCGATCCTTGAAGCGCGCCATCGACAGCTCATGGAACACGGAACCCTCGACGCCTACGCGCGAGCGCCGGCCAAGACACGACTCGCGATGGCCGACATTCAAGATGAGATAGCACGCATGCACATGCAGCTGCACCCGCGCTCCAATGCCCAGTGACACCACAAATGACTGTCGAGACTTCAACATTTTTGCGATTTGCTAGTACTGGCTGTACACGGAGAGCCTGTCGCCGGTCGAGAGTGGCGAGAACGGGTTCACGCGGGACCACATGATGGCTTCGTCCAGCGAGATCGCCGACACCTCGTCCTCCAGCTTGATCGATGGGCCGTGGATGATCTAGCGCCCATTATATAGACAAGTGCTGCCACAAGAAAGGTCGACCTCGCCTGTAAAGAGCGATCGCAAAGGAAATTTGGCCTGGCCCGCCGACGGGAGGTTGGAGCCGGGCACGACGACGGCTTCGACACGACCTTGCAGCGCGTCTAGACCCATCGTGACATACCCACAGGGCGACGTTGCATGTTACGCGGTGGCGACGCAAGAACCTTGTGCCACGTAGCCACGCGTGCTTGTAGCGCTTCTGGCCACGAGCTGCGCGACCGCTCGAGCTGCGCGAGCACGTGCTGCAGCCGGCCGAGATCCCGCGACGCACAGTAGTCGGCTTCCTACACTCGCTTGAACCCAGCCACTTTGCTCACACGTAACCAACGGCTTCGAGCAAAGCGGCTTCGGGGATTGGAAGTCGGACGGCGGCGCCATAGCACTGCGTGTGGACGACGTGGAAGAGGTAGCTTACGACAGGGACCGGCGACCGGGCGTCCATGGCTTGTACGGCACCAGCAAATGCCATGAGGGCCAAGAGCGTCGCGCGCTGCCTACAAAACTCTCCATCAATGTATCAATGTATCAGGCGGTACTTGGGCGACGCTGCCACAGCGTCGTACGAGCCCAAGATGGTCGTAAATGCAAACACCACGGGCCAGTTGACCTCCGGGGCACCGAGAAGCTCTAGCACTCGCATCCACGTCTGAGCTATAACTCCAACCGACTGTACCGAATACTTCCGAGATGGCGAGTTGAAGGCCCTAGAGTATGCACCTTCTTGTTGATACGAGTCCGAAGGCTGCATGGGAGCGCACCTCTGCTTCGTCGCCGAGCAAAAGGTGCAGTCGAACGGCATCGACGAGCTAAGTAGAGCAAGGTAGAACGCAGCAAGCATCGCAGGTGGTCGTCCGTACACGCTCGCCCGCCAACGCATCACGGAGCTCGGCTTCGAGCTCGGTTTGCTCGAGAAGCCGCGCCGCAAGAGTTTGCGTGCGTCCGAGGCGCGCCTGGCGCGCGCACAATAGCCACGTCTAGTGCATCATGAGCAGCGCGAGAGGCTGTGGCAGAGGACTTCATATTTTGCTTCGAGAGGCGGGAGTGTGCCGAGGAGCTGCAACACTAGGGGCAGCGCCCCGAGTGCTTCGTACTTGAAAGCGAGGCGGCGCACGAGCATGACGGGTGGGTGCTGTGGCGACACGTCTGTCGAGAGATACGTCGAGAGCACGTACGCCAGCTCGAGCTACACGATGGATGGCCATATGGAACCAAGATATGGACCGTGCCTGGTCGCCGCGCAGAAGGACAGCTATCGCATTGTCCATGGCGTGGACGGAGAGGTAGCAACACGCTGCAAGAATCGGGTCGCCCGCGTCCACGTACTGCGTCGCCAAGGCTGCACGCGAGCTGTGGCGCAGCGCCGACTACAGCTGGTGAGACGCAGTTTCTCGAGGTCAGGGGACGCACCCAGTCCTGCTGGCTGGGCGAGTTACTCAAAGATGGCGCTGCGTGAGGCATCGTCTCGCTCGCCTTGGCGACGACGAATGCATCTTCATACTGACTACGGCTGTGGTACAGAGCGACAGCGCTTTCAACGTCGCGGGTCGCTACGTAGTACACGGCAGCGTCCTCGCTCTCGCTCGCGGCCAAGTGCTCGGCGTACTCGGTTGCAAGCTTCTCCCAAAAAGCCATCGAGACACCCGGTGCGACAGCTAGCGCCTTCTCCCACTGGTTCATGTCGGCCAAAATACGGCAATAGCTACAGCGGCTTTGAGATGGCACGTTGTACGAGGCGATGACCGTACCGAACGAGGTTGCCCGCCTTGAGGTACGTCGCCGCCGCTTGCAAAAGGTGTTCTTCCTTGTTGAGGCGCGTCGTTTTGCTCGGGCGGCGCGACTTGGCCAAGCCCGCCTCGAGGCGCCGGGCCTGCTCAAGGTACGTCTCGACAACGCTCTCTTCGCGCTGGATGCGCATCTCACGCGTGCTCTTTTGTTGCAGCAGCGCAAAGAAATTCGCGAGGCCGGGCAGCATGCCCGCGACAACAAATGCTGCTTCGATGGGCGCCACATCCGGAGCTGAGAGCACGGTGGCTAGCAGCGTCGTTGCTGACTCGTACGTGCGGAGGCCCCAGAAACGCAAAGTCGAGTCCCGCGAGCATGACACGAACGTGCACGGCGTCGCAAGATGCGTCGCGATGCCATACACGTCGGCGAGATGGTCGACGACCACGAGTCGGCAGCTCCGCGAGTGGATGTCCCAAATGCGAATCGTGGCGTCCCAGCTGCCGCTGAGCAAGAGCGGCGCGCTAGAAAGAAAGAACATCAGTATCAATCGAGTATCAAGATCGAGCAAATACGGTGCAGCGTGCCACACGAGCGCCCGCACAAAGCCCGTGTGGCCCGTGAGCGTAATGTACGGCACGACAGCGTCCACAGCACTCTCTTCGGGCCAGCTCCAGACGCGGATCGAGCAGTCGTCCGAGCTGGACGCGAGAAGGAGTCGCGCCGGGTCGGCGTACCACACGGTGTGGAAGACCCGCGCGTCATGGGCCGCGAGAACGCGGAGCGGCTCGGTCGACGACGTCTTTGTGGCAAAGACGCGGACAACGTGGTCGATGCACCCGACGACGAGGAGGCCGTCGCCACGCGGGCTCCAGTCGCAGCCAAACGCAGCTCCTATCGTACTATGAGCAAACCCCAGTTGGTGGAGCAGGCTACCGGGCAGCACGTAGCGCTTGACGAGGACGCCGCTTGGCAAGGCCAGCACGACCGTCTTGTCTTTGGAGGAGGAGGCGAGAAGCCCATCGTCGCCAGTGTCCCACGCAACGCGGTAGACGGCGTCCGTGTGATGCCGCATCTGCACGGTGGCCACGCCGACGGCAGTGTCCCAGAGGAAGACGGTTCCCAAGGACGACGACGACGCTATCAAAGAAGCGGTCGCCGGGGCCCATGCGACGCTGTAGAGCACGCCGTCTTGGCCCTGGAGATGTTGAAGGCAGTGCATAGTCTCGACGTCCCAGATGCGCACACTGCCGTCGTGGCTGCACGTTGCCAAGACGTTTGGGTTGCTGGGCTGGTATCGCACATCGAAGATCGTCTCCTTGTGGCCGGGCTGCAGGCACGCAAATGAGCTCATTTGACAAAACCGCGAGGGACACATACGTGGCTTGCCCATGCGAGGTGGCGCTTCTGGAGGTCGTAGACACCAACTGAGCCGTCGACTGCGGCGCACAAAAGGCGGTGGTCCTGCAACACTGCGATGTTGTGGATGCCGGACGACTGGGCGCGGACGTGCTGCAGCGGCTGCGGCTGCGAGACGTTCCAGATCTTGAGGATTCCACTGCGCGCGTTGGCCGTCACAAACTGCCCCGGCGCCGACGGCAGCCTAATGCCAAGCACCAGTTGTACTTGCGCGAAATGAGGTTCGTACCAAGCAATGGCATTCGTGCCGGCGCCTTGCTTGTCGAACGTGTGCAGCTGCGTCCCGGTCGTCTCGTTGATCTCCCAGAGAGCACTGTGGCCGTCCTTGTAGGCTACGAGGAGGTACAAATGCGAGAGCGAGTCCCACGTCATATCGGTGATCGCGAGCGCCTTCTTGTCGCGCTTCTTCTCGCGTGTGATCAGCGTCAGCGCCGTTGGACGCGCGCCATGGTAGAGCCCGATGGCGCCGGACCTAGAATCGTATCAATCTATCAGGACAAAAGTGCACGGTCAACTCGAAGCCGATCGCGAGCATGCCACGCGTCTGCGGATTCCATCGCAGTACGGTCATGGGCGACTCGGTCGGCTTGGGCAGAAGCCGCGCCATGCTGTGGGTGTTGGCCTCGAGGTCGATCGTCCACACATAGATGCTAGTCGCCAAGTAGGACGTGCGATCGAAGTGGCGACGTACAGCTTGTCGCTGCAGGCGATCGCGAGCTGCATCGTTGACGCGTCGTGGGGCTGCCATTGCAGCGAGATGGCGTGGTGGGCCGTCGGCAGCGTCGCTTGGAAGAGGATCTCCTCGGTCGTGACGTTCCAGAGCACGACGCCGCCTTCCATCGCGACGGTCGCCAAGTAGGCGCGGTGGCAAGCGAACGGGCACCACGCGAGGCCGAGCACGTTGTCTTTGGTCGACAGGAGGCGGTGCAGGCGGAAGGTCGTGGCCTCGTACACGTACACGGCGAGCGTCGACGCGAACGCAAAGAAGGCGCCGGTGGCGTCGCTGCCCACAATGTGCAAGTTGCCAAGCCCGCGCCGCTGCATGCAGCCCGACGGCACGACGCGGACTTGCTGGAAGCTCACCTTGGCCCGCGGGTCCATCTCACACCAACGCGATCTTTCGAAATGCTTTGGCCGGCGCTCCTTCATGGCAGCGCGTGAGTGATCGAAGAGCGCGATGCATTCTTGCCATCTCACAGCAGGCCGTGGCCATCGACGTCGCTTGGCACATGACCGGCGCAGCCCTGTTCTGCCCAGGACCATGCCCGGATTCCTCTGTCTATTTGCACGCCACATTGGCCCCACACAGCGACAAAGGTCTCAGTGCTCTGCATGTCGCCACGATAGAGCTACCCTGCTGCGAGATATCAAACGCGTTGATGGCAGTGAACGAGGTGGACGCGTGCAATGCGGTGATTCATGGTGGCGGTCGCGGGGTCGCCATGCAAAAGTTGCGTGTGTGTAGCCAATCCAGCCACTCCTTGGAGCAGGACAGGATCTTGCGACGTTTCGGAGCGAGCGAGCGTCGATGGTATCGGCCAAGGAGGTCGCGCAGGTCGCAGTCTATGGCGGTCCGCTGGACAAGAAGGTAAAGACGCCGGATGCGCTTGCAGGATCTTCCTCGTCCTGTAGGGCCGCATGGGCTGGAAGAAGCGGTACTTCTACCTCACCATGTCGCAATGGATGTACTACGATGCCACGGACGCGTCGTCGCCGAGCTTTGTCACGAACGCGTCCGAGATCTCGCTCGTCGAGGAGCTCCATGCGTCGATCGATCCGGCTACGAGCCAGAGCACGAGCAGCAGCTCGTCGTCGTCCAAGGGCTACTGCTTTGCCATTGTCGTCGGCAAGAAGCGCAGCGAACTCCGCGCCGCAACAGAAGAGGACCGCGACGGCTGGATCGGCGCGCTCGCTCCGTACGTGAAAGAGACAGCGCCGCTCTCGAGCCCCCACGCCCACCACCCCAAGTCGCGCTCCAGTACACCTGCTGCCTCCTGACGCTATCGCTAGAGCATCCTCTCTGCGTAGAGGCCGAGCTCACCAAGGTCGCCGAGTACCTCAAGCAGCAAGTGGCGTTCCAGAAGAAGAAGCAGTTTACCGCCGACGACGCCACGACGATTCTCGCCAAGAAGTTCCCAAACCTCGCGCTCACCGAGCTCGAAGCATGGGGCCAAACGCTGCTCGACGCCAAGTTCATCATGACGACGGGCCCGACGACCAAGGACTCGATCTCGTTTGGTCGGCACCCCGGCGTCTTTACGTGCGACGTCAAGAAGAAGACGACGAGTCGGCTCACGGCCAACGAGCGCTCGCGCATTAGCGACCTCATGAGCAGCGCGACGTTTGACGCACGGGCGTACGCCGAGCTCTTTCTGAAGCGGAATCCACCAGAGAAGATCCAAGAGCATTGCGAGATGCTCTTGGATCAAAAGGTTTGAGTCGCGTCGTGCGTCGCTTTGGACGAGTGCGAGCGTAGGACGCCATCATTGAGGAGCTCAAGAGCGATATTTGCGCCAACTACGTCACGTTTCTGTCGGCGGCCGCGGAGATTCGGAGCATGGACAGCAGCGTCTCGCTCATGAAGAGTGTCATCCACGACTGCAAGCGGTCGCTCGCGCAGCTCCAGGCCATTTCCCTCACGCCAACCAAGCAAGGTTGACTCGCATCCATGCACTGCCTCCAATAAGAACGTAGACGTCAAAAAGGCAGCGAGTGCCAGCAGCCAGAGCAAGTTGCTCGCCGCGGTGCCGACGCCGCCGGATGACATGCTTCTCGAGCTCGAGCACAGTCTCGAGATGTTCCTCTTTGAACAAGACTACGACGGCTTTACCTCGCTCGTGCTCGACACGCGAAAGAATGCACCATCACTGGCGGCAAGTCGACGCCTCTATCGACGCCACGGTGTCACCATCCACTAGGCCAGCGCGCTCGTCGACCGATACACGGCGCAGTTTGTGGACAAGGTGACAACTGCGACAACGGGCCACCAGACGTTCCGCGAGAACCACGTCACCTATCTGCTCCGGCTGCACGAGACCAAGGCCGCGACCGACATGTGTTTGGAGGCGTACTCGGCGCGGCTGCACTCGCAGTTGCGCACGGTGGTAGCGTCCGGGCAGCCGCAGGCCTACGTTTTGGCAGCGTCGCGCGCCTTCTTCACGACGCTGCTCATGTGCTACGAGGACTTTGTCGCGAGCTTCGAGGGCCAGCCTAGCAGCTACTTTGTCGCACTCACGAGCTGGATCCATGCCAATGTGGCGCAGTTTGCCTCGGAAATCGCCCTGCACATCTTTGAATGCCCCGATGTCGCCATGGCGTGGGTGGTGCGCGACCCGACCGAGCTCAAGGCTACGTCCAAGGCCATTGGCGCAAGCCTCCGGCTGCTCTACTTTGGCGCTCGCCAGCTTGAGCTCGCGGGCCTTCCGATCGCGAATCAGCTCGCGCACTGTCTCGCGCACCCGCTCCAAGAGCACATTTTGAGCTACGCCAAGGCCATCAAGGTATCGCGTGCGTCGAGTCTGTGTCGTTTATGAGAGAGGGTAGCTCAAGGTCAAGGACGAAGTCAAGCGCGAGCGATGGGACCTCCTCTCGATGAAGATCCGCGACGAGAAGACCCAAGCCGAACACGAGATTGCGCTCACCAAGAGCGCTCGCTTCTTTTACGGCCATTTGCAGCAGTACTTGCGCGACCTGCAAAAGCTCCTCCACCCGTCGTATCCGTCGTCCCAGTAGTCGCTACCACCCATGCACCTCTGTACGCAGCGATGTAGGTCGCCCAAGATCCAAATGGCAGTGCTCTACGAGACAGAGCTCGTCCTTCTCCAGTACCTTCAAGACATCAAGACCATGTTTGAGAACCCCAAGACGACGACGTCGGTCAAATACGCCCACGTACTACTCCACCGCTCTTGCGCCACCGAACGAGACGACTCCGTCTTGTAGGTCGTCGCGATGCTGTCGACGATGCGCTACATTGAGAAGGACTGCGTATCGCGCGTGCTCTACACTCTCACGGCGTGTCTTCCCGCAACCCAGCTCCAAAAGGCCGACTTTGGCTCCCAAGTTGCTTGGACTTGCGTATTCTCGACTCAATGGCGCGTAGATTCGCCAGCTATGGCGTGAGATGCTGGACGCCAGCGTGCCGCGCATGGCGCAAGCTCTCTTGCGCAACAGCCTTCGCTGGAACGAGCTCAGCCTCGCGAGCGACGCGCTGCCATCGAACGGCGCCGCGTCCGCCCTCTTTCTGCCTACGCTCCTCCACGACTTGAACAGCGTGAGCCCGGACCAGCTTGACATCTTTGGTGTTGGTTGCCCACTCGTGTGGCGTGTCGACTCAGCCACCGCGTTAGGACCAAGACGACGTGACATTGCAGCTGCTCGAGGCGCTGTTGCAGGCCATGCTGGACGACAGTCCATGGTGGCAGCTCGTCGAGACCAAGCAAAAGGCGCTCGGGTACGGCGGCACAAGTCGGTGCATTGCCGAGCTGCGCGTGCTTACGTCGCGGGTCGCGTCGCCGGGCATCGCTCAAGCCGGCGCGAGCCTCGAGCAAAGGTTCAAGAGCATGTACAGCCGCGTTGGGACGAAGAAGGAGCTCGCACCCGATGCGTGGTGCACGCAATATGGCCTCGAGATCACAAAAGACGTCAAGACGAAAGCCTAATATCTACTGACGTACTACTCTATGACGTCGCGTCTTTGGTTGGGAACCACTCCGAGATGAGGCGGGTCTTGGCACCGAACGGGCGTCGCTTGGTCGGTGCAGGCAACGTCGGACTACTCAGATCCACGAGCGCGTTGCTGCTCTTTGATGCATAGTCGTCTATCGGGTGCAGCGCAGCTCGTTTGGCGAAGGCTGCTTGCAGATTCGACCGCTGGTACACGGGCACTTGCCCCTTTGTATAGAGTGGCACGGGTGGCTCGGAGGTTGTTGGCGTACGGCGCGTCTTGGGCAGCGGCGAGAGCACGTCAGTGAGGTCGACGACCGGCGCGGGCTTCTTGCTCTCGGGTTTTCGTGGGCGTTTGGGCGCGCGCTCGGGGCTGGAGGGCGCCGCGGGACGCTTGGCTGCTCGCTCGAGGGCGCGGACTTTGGCCATCAGCTTCTCGTATTGCTCGGCGCGGTACCGGTTCGAGGTCTTAAGCGCGAGAATGACGTCGTGCGGGCGCTGCAACTCGGCTTCCAGGACGCTGATCTGGTTGGTGGCAATGAACATTTGAATGGAAGCGGCGACCGAGGCTGCGCCGACTTGAGCCTGCAGCTGCTTCAAGGTCGCCCGCATCTCGACCGCCTCCTGCTGGAGCTTGAGTTGCGCGTACTTGGCGTCGTGTTTGGCCTTCTTGAGCACTTCGTTGGCCTTCTTGAGGGTCGTGATTTCGCTAGTGGCGTCGAGGACCCGTTGCTCGTACATCACCATATCTTGGGTTTGATTTTTGAGCCGCGCCTCGAGCGCGCCGACCCGCGAGGCCAGCGACTTGTTCATGGCTTGGATCTCGCGGACGTTGATCGTGCCCTCGTTGTCGACCGTGTCGTTGGACGGACGCGCACATGGGGCCGCCGGCGGCATGTAGAAGAGCTTGGTCGTGTGATGCGGCTGGCACGGCGCGCGGCAGGTCGGGCATTGCCGCTTGGCGCGCAGAGACATGGCTGCGCACTTGCCATGGTAGACGTGGCCGCAGGGCAGGCAGCTCAAGTCGTCGACCAGCGGCTCGAGGCAGATGCTGCACTCGCCCTCGCTTGACATGGCCGCTTTTGCGAATTTGAATTTTATCCAATCGTAGGGCGCTGTTTGAATTTGGAGGTGTATTAGTGTGAAATAGGGCGATATTAGTGTGCTGTAGAATCATCGGGGCGGGCAACGGCCCAAGCCACCAGTGCAAGTGGCGTGAACGTCGATGTTGTCTGCGACGCCCAGCAAATAGTACCAGCAATCATATCGGTGTCACTTAGGGTGTCAGTACCGGTACCTCATTCATTGTTTAACCTCGAGCAACGAGAGCGTCTGGCAAGTCGGCGGATTTAGCTGGCAGTGAAGCGCGTTTCCGGTGGCATCATCTCACGCGCTAACCCCTACGTATGGCCTTCGCCACAGCACAAGCCTGCTACGAAGTCAACGTTGGTGACAAGTGTACTAGTACGATCAAGCATTGCGAGCTTCGGAGGGGTAGGAAGGTCGTTGGCTGCCGGTCAGCTTGATCGCGCAGTCTTGAATTGACCAATGGAAACGCGTCGATCCGTCTCATTTTGGCCAATCATAAGGTGGCCGACCGGCAGCACCCAGGATGCAATAATATACCAAGCACAAGCTAAACGTGCGTCACCTATTTAATCATCATACAAATCTCTGTCATTGCAGCATATTAATATAACCATTTGGAAAACAGGATATTAATATTCGCATCGTATTCTATAAATAATTTGGCACGCGATGGAGCTGAGCGCTGACGACGACCTCGGCGCGCCACGTCTTGGCCTTGGCACGAGCAGCACCGACGCCCCGAAGACGCTCTACGATGCACTTCTGATGCACGTGGCCGCGCGCTTGCATATGAAGTTGTGCACGGCCGCTCGGAAGCGCCCGTCCTACGAGGTCGCCAAGATCACCGAGGCGCTGGTCCATACGAGCTACGTGGCCGGCGACGCGCTGGACGACGCGACGCAGCGCATCGTGCGCATGCTACAAGCCGAGCCAGGCGTGGCGCTCGACGTTGCTGGCAGCTGCTTGCTTTTGGACGCAGGCAAGCTCCGGCCCCTGCACGAGAAGGATACGCTTATTGCGCCGAGCGCAGATGGGCCCGGAGCTGTCAAGGAGATTGTGCGACGCATGGCGCGTCAGATCGCATTTCTGCCGCTGACCCAAGTCACGATTGCAGTGGCGGCCAAGAAGGCTATTGCGGGCTGCACGTCGATCGGAGGCAAGTGGATCAAGCGGAGTGTCCTCGAAGGGGTCATGCAGCTCGGGTGCTTCAAGAAGACGACCAACGCCGACGGCGTCCCTTGCATCGCGATCGACCCGACGCGCCTCAACCGCTCCGTGGCGTCCGTTCCCGACCTCAGTTTCCTCCGGCGACTCCCGGCGCAGACGTCTGGCTCGTACGCACCGCCTCCTCCACGCGAGCCGACGCCTCTCGCTGCAACGAGCGCATCTCACGGCCAAGCAAGCACACTCTACGACGCGCTGATCGAGCACATTGTCGTGCACGTTCATGCCGCAGCGCACACCGCGATCAGCAAGAAGGCCAAACAGTACAAGGTCAAGAAGATCACAAAACTGCTCACGAAGGCCGGCTACATTGACGACGTTCCACGCACGGCCCAGCAGGTTCTGGAATGCGTCCTGCGCGATCGCTGCCTCACCTGCGTCGACGGTGCATCGATCCTGGCCACGCGCGCCAGTCCTTATGCCGTCCCCGCTGCAACGCGCCACGGCGTCACGGCTCTCGTGCAGGCGTGGGCAGCAAAGATTGCGATCGCTCCGCACGAACTGACAAACCTCCGAGCGCAGCTTCAGAAGGCCGAGCTCGTCGAGGGATTCGACGGCATGGCCGAGCAAGCCTTTGACGCCTTGTGTGCCCTTAAGTGCATGGCCACTGTCCGCAACCACAAGGCGGCCCTCTGCCTCGGCATCGACCCGTCGCTTGTCCATCAGTCGCTAACTTTGTTCGTGGACGTGTCGTTTCTGCGCTCTCTGGCGTCGGTCGCGGCGCTATCCCCCGCGGTGTCCTCTCCGACGTTGCCGCTTTGTCGCCCGGCGCCAGCGCCCGTCACGGCCTCTTCCGCTCCGTCCAGGGAACTTGTGGATGACGCACGCCGCTCGAAGCAAACGCTCGGCGATACCCTTCTATATGCACTTGCCGATCACATTCGTCGTCTGGCGTACGATGCGATCCGCGGGGCCAAAGCTCGGTTCAACTTTGCAGCCAAAGTACCGCTGCTCCTGCGCGCGACGCGCTACATACCGCCGGCTCTGTACACGGAAACGCGCCAAGTTTTGCTTGAAATCGTGTTGCGCGATCAAAACTTGGTGTTTGTCAAGCCCCTCTTTGTCGTCTCGCGGGACCAACGCCCGCTGCCACTACTGCCGCCAGCGCGCCATTGGACGTCCGAGGCAACGCCAGCCGCCATGCTGCGTGGGCTGCTGAAACCTCTGGCGATTGCGCCGATCGCCATGATGGAGATTGCGAGAGCTGCGACGTCGGCGCTTGTCGCCCGCGGCGTCCACGAAGTTGCGACGGCCGTGCCCAAGCTCATTGCGGACCTCATGCAGCTCAAGTACGTCGTGGCCACCCAAGGCAAGGACCACGAAATCTACTTGGCGATCGATATGACGTGCTACCTTCGGCCAGCAGAGGACTTTACCTATGTGCCAGCACCCGAGTCGTGGCTCGTACAGAGCATGCCAACAGCAGCTTCATCTGTACCGAACCCAGTGGCAGATGACGCACCGAGGTCTTCGTCGTTTTGCTTGTCGAGCAGTGCACCGGAGAGCGTCGCGTCTTCTGGCATGTCGTCCGCGCTGTCTGTGCCATCGTCCCCGCTGTCCGCGTCATCGTCTGCGCCGCCGGCGTTGTGGGCCACGCAGTCTGCTTCGTCTTGTCCGCCGTCCCCTTCGTCGGTGCCGTCGTTGTTGGAGCCGCTGGACAGCGTGGCATCCGTGGTGAAGACGCACCACGACTCGTTCTTGCCGGCGATTTTGGCGTGGGTCCGCGAGGACAACCCGTTTTACGTCTCGTACGTCCGCGGCCAAGTCCGTTCCCACCTCCCGAATGACGTGGATCTGGACGCAGCGGTCGACGCCGTCGTGACGTCGTTGACGCAGCATCCCGAGCTCGTCTTCTGCGACAATGACCGACCGTGTTTTGTCGGCAAAGGGTGTGCTCCGCCCGACGACATTGTCGTGCAAGCCCCTCCACCAGGGACCTCGGACAACGACGACGACGAAAGCTGCAGCGAGATTTCAGCCGGTACGTCGAAAGCGGTACTGAACCCGAAGCAATGCGAATGTAGAAAGCGAAGTGTCGGACGAGTCCGAGCCAGACGCCGAGACGCCGGCTCCAGTGAGCCTGCCACCGACCACTGACATCTCACCACGACGCGTGATCGCCGCGTATGTGCAGCAGGTGGTACATCAACTTGCCTTGGGCGCCGTCTACGACGTTCCGCTCTTGACGCATCAGCTGAGCCGCCTCGGCATCGACGCCGATGACATTGACGATGCCGTCGCTGCTGTCGTGGCCACGCTTCAGTCGATGCCCAGCGTTGTTAGCACCCACGACGATCGTGGCGACTGGAGCTTTCGTCAAGACAGTCCAAAACGATTGGACGAGAAACTTGTACCAGACAAGCGTACGTACACACCTTTGATTTTCAGTTGATAACCCATGGCGTAGAGGCACCGTCGCAGCACGCCGCTGTGACGTGGAAGAGCTCGGCGCCTTGCACGAAGATCGCCACCACTGCACAGCTGCGTGCGGCGGTCGCGACCGTCGACGTCCTCAACGACCCGACGCACCGTCGCGTCCTGGCCATTGACGCGTACGGCGAGTGGCCCAAGGTGTTGCTTGTAGTCGCCTGCACCGAAACTACGCTCCTCATCGACTGCTGCGACATTCCGATCGCCGCGCTCGTGGACGCCGTGGGGCCGTCGCTTCGGTCGTCGGTTGTCACCAAGGTGGCGTTCGATGTGCACCGGTCGGCGGCGCTGCTCTCGTCCTTGGCCGAGTGCTGCGGTCTCGTGGATTTACAGCTGCTCCTCGAGCACGAGACGGCGCGCTTTGATGTTTCGTTTGCCGACATGGTGGCACACGCTGGGCTGCCCGCGCACCCGCACCCGCGGTACCTCGACCGCGCCGATTTCTTCAACGAGCGGCCACTACGGCCCGAAGCAATGCAAGCGGCGGCATCGACGACCCAGCTGCTTCTCCATGCGTCGGACGTACTCGCGAAAGGTATTTTTGACAACTTTGCACTGCTGCTAGCGGCGTCGGCCCAGCGCTTGTCGCATACACACGGCCAGCGCGCACTGTGCTTTGACGCACTGCACGATCACCGCGTCGTGTCGGCCGAGTACCTCGGTGCGTGGCGGCCCACCGACGTCGCTGCCACCACCCCTGTTGTGGTCCACGAAGACTTGGACGATATTTTGGGGTTGCTGCCGAGTGACTTGGTCGCGCCACTGTTGCAGCCGGGTGTCGCGTCCAAGCTGCTCGACATCGTCTTGGACCTCGGGCGGCGGCCGTGGGCGTGGGTCGATGGCGCCCGCTGCTTCCTCGACGTCCAGCATGAAGACCGCGTCGTGACGCGCGACGACCTCGATGCAATCGTCGACCGCGTCGGTGGCTTTGGTAGCGACAACCGCGCCGGCCTCGAGCGTCAACTGCACCGCATCTCGGCGATTCGCAACCGCCAAGACGTGATCATTGCGCTCACGATCCGCGTCGGTCGATACATTGAAGGGCATGCGGGCTTGATCGCAGATCTTCTCGCAATGGAAGACAAGAGCATCCTCTTCCTCGGCGAGCCTGGCTGCGGCAAAACCACTATCGTCCGCGAAGTGTCTCGCCATCTCGCCACCACGTACAATGTGTGCATCGTCGACACGAGCAACGAGATAGCAGGTACGACTGCCTGTTCCTTGTTGTCGCAATGATCAATATATGCATCCGTAGGTGACGGCGATGTCCCGCATGCGTGTGTGGGCTTGGCGCGGCGCATGATGGTGCCGTCGCTCGACGCACAAGCTCGAATCATGGTCGAATGCGTCCAGAACCACACGCCAGAGATCATGGTCATCGACGAGATTGGCCGACCAAACGAAGTCGAGGCCGCGCGCACGTGCAAGCAGCGCGGCGTGCGCATCGTCGCGTCGGCGCACGGCGACCTCCGGAAACTACTCAAGAACAAGCCGCTGCGAGGTCTTGTCGGCGGTGTCGAGTCGGTGACGGTCGGCGACGCGATGGCCAAAGCGCGGCAAACGAAGGACGACTCTGGACCGCTGCGCAAGCTCTTGGCGCAGCGCAGTGGCGACCCGATCTTTGACATTGTTGTCGAGCTCCAGCGCGGTCAGTTTGATACGTGGCGCATTGTGACGGACGCTGCAGCGGCCGTCGACGCTGTTCTTGCGGGCACATCGTATGCAGCTCAAGTCCGCACGCGCACGGCGTCTGGCGGTGGTTTCCACCTGCACAATTGCACTTGCTAAGGCCTAAGCAACGAGGACGGTGGATCAACGTGGCGAGCCGTGTGAATTCGCTCAGATAAGATTCGATAAGAGAGCGGCTCTTGGCATCGATGACCAATGATCATGACTCACGGTCATGGTCGGAGGTAGCCATCTTCAACTCTACATTTCTCGGCCCCACAGCCTCGCCCGATCGAATGACATGGCGCGTCGTAGTCCCCAAAGTGTCCTCTCTCCATGTGCCAACTATGAGCGATAACGTGTTCTGACTCGTTTTGGCGTCCATCGTCTTGGCAAGCGCGGGTGGGTGGTCATAAACCTGTGAAAACGTATATTATGTGATGAAATATAAGTTGTCACAGGTGCCGGACCACCCACCCGCGCGTGCCGAGACTGGAGACGCCAAAACGAGTCAGAACACGTTATCGCTCATAGTTGGTACATGGAGAGAGGACACTTTGGGGACTACGACGCGCCATGTCATTCGATCGGGCGAGGCT